TACAACTTATATATTGATACTGACTACCAAGTAGAGGATTTAATTAATCTACCTGAAGAGTTAGAACCACTTGAAACTTTGTATATTTCTAATAGTAGTCTTTAATTAACCCAATATTCTGACCCTACCAATATTATTTACTTAGAAGATAGCTCTTTTAGTGAAGGATCTACAACATATCAATTACCTATTAGTACTTTTCCACCTGAATCTGTAATTTTAAATCCTAATTTTAGTATATCCTGTGAATCATTTGGTTTTGAAACAGATCCAATTCTTGATCAGATTGATATTGAAGCAAACCCTACTGTACTTATAAATCCTAAACCAATGACTGAAACTGATACTTTACAGGATGCTGCTGCTGCTATGCAAGCTTTAGCTGCTGCACTAGGACAAGGAGGTGAAAAGACTTTAGTAACTTTGAAATACTTTGAAGGAGACTGGTCCTAAGATCCTGTTGAATGAATAAAAGAATTTGAATATGTGGCTATTGCTAATAGATAGAATGCAAACAGACAATTGGAGCTTGCCCCTGCATATCTTAAAGGTATTGCTCAAGAATAGTACCAATTCTTAAATGATATTCAAACTGCTACCTCTTTTAGAACCAATAATGCCCAAGCCTGTAGTTTTTACCATATATTTAAAACATGTTTCTCTACTTCTACTCAACAAGCTGCTTAGCAAAAACAACTCTTTGATATTTAGCAAGAACCAGATTCTGTTGATGCCTATATTAATCAGTTTAAAAAGCTTCGTAATCAAATTGATCCTAATGAAGGATTCCCAGGAGATTTTATCAAACAACTTTTTATACAAGGTCTTCAACCTGACTTGGCTGTCTATATACAAGCATCTAACCCTGCAAATATAAATGCTACAATTAAAACAGCCAGAAGATAGGAAACTGGAAAAATGTTAGCTTCTGGATCTATTAGTAAAGTAGAAAACATGATCCAAGATTTAACTGATAGTCTTAAAAACATGAGTCTTAATTTGGTCTAACAAAATAACAAAAAGGAAGCTTACACTGTTGAAAGCGGTTATAATCTAACCAATTAGAATCAAGGAAGAAATAGAAGCATGGATCCAACTATTCATTGTTTTTGATATAATAATTTAGGATATATTGCTGTACACTGTCAACTCAACAGAAGAAGAAATCGTTCAAACCGAAATAGAGATTTTAGAAGAAGATCCAGATCAGAATCTCAGAATTATAGAAGAAATCCATCTAGGAGTCAAAAAAGGTATAGAAAAAATACTCGAGATTATAATCGATATGATAGAAGCAGATCTAGAGATTATAATTGATATGATAGAAGCAGGTCTAAAAGTCAGTCTAGAGACCAGGAAGTTCATTATAGATCTCCTATTCATCAGTATATCAACTTAGCAGATAATAAAGAAACCACCTCTACCAATCATTAGAATACTCTTTTAAATAATACTAGTATTAGAAGAGCCTTGGCAAATTACCTGCAAGGTGACTCCAATATTGTAAATCTGGTATACTCTAATAGACCACGAACTATTCCTGTGAAATATCAAACAACCATTCGTAATAAACCATTAATGGCTGTTATTGATAGTGGAGCTGTTATTAGTATGATTACCCAACAAGCTGCCAAAGAAATTGGATTGAAAATAGACACTCCTTCTAATAGTTTAATTTCATCTGCATTTGGAAAACAAGTTAGACTTCTAGGTGTTATTAAGGATGTTTCTGTAGAAATTGCAGGAATTACTATTTTTATTTCCATGAAAGTTGTACCAGCAACTACTTATTCTCTTATTTTGGAAAATGATTGGTCTCGCAAAGTAGAAGCCCAATATGATTGGAAAACTAAGGAATATATTATATATTGGGATAGTTATCGTATTATTGTACCTACTACCTATAAGCATAACCAGGCTATAGAAGAACAACCCATAGTCAGTAAAGTGGATAATGACTGGGAAGAAGAATATGAGGATGAAGAATTAATTTCTCATGAGGCCTATATTTTAGAAGCAGAATCTAATAATATTAAAGATTCAGGATAGACTATATATCAATAAAAACCAAAAATCTCTTGCAAGAAAAACTAGGAATGTTGAACCTGTGGACAAACTGATCACTATTTTGAAGATTGCCAATATAATAAATGTTGACAATGTGATGAGTATAAACATATTGCTATTAAATGTCCTTACCAAAAACCTAAACGTACTACCTGTGCTAATTGTGGTCAATCTAGTCATTAATTTAAGGATTGTCCAGAAAATGAATGTAGAAAGTGTGATAACAAAGGGTATATTAGTACTAATTGTCCTAGAAGTAAACTTGAACAAGAAAATAAAAAATATCAATGTGGTTGTAATGAAGAGGAAGTTGCTAACCAAAAAGCATATTATCATAGTCAAAAGAGAAAACATCACTGCTGTCAATACAAGTATTCTCAATTTGATAATGAATTAATGCTACTAGAAGGAACTCTAGTTTGCAAAGCATGCTATAAAAACTATCATGAAAATTTGAATCGAGAAGACTCCAGGTGCCATTATTATTATGAACAAGGATTAGAAAGAGGAACTTTAGTTAAATGCATAGTATGTGAAAAAGAAAATCCAAAATACAACATGCATAATTTGCCAAATAGAACTTGGTTTTGTAGCTTTAAGCATATGTATATATACAAAGCTAGTGAAGATATCAAGTATAACTCAAACTATGACTTGTGAACCAGAGTTAAGCATTATACTGAGTCTAACAAAAGTGCTGGAAGTTATTATAATATGAACCAAGATAGTATTTACCAGTTAGCCCAAACCTTGCTTGGTATAACACCTCAGAGTATTGCTCAAGCAGAAGTGGAACAGGAAACAGATAGGTTTAATAGAGAGTTTACAAATGAGGAATTAACTCTGCTCTTTCATGTTGGTGAAATACAATTAACTACCGATGAAGAACAACAACTAAACCAAATTTTAGCTGAGTCTTTTGATCTATCGAATGCTGATTTTGACTATCAACAAGCTATTGCCAACTTGCTTGCTAATTTTAAAAGAAAAGTAGCTTTATGTTTAGATTGTTTGTTTGCTAAATATATTTTTGAACTAGAACCCAATCAAGATCTTTGTAATGAATACTATCAGGAGCAAACAAAGCTATCTACTAGTTTACAAAAAGAAAAAGAACCAGAACAAGAGCCTAAACCACAAGATATTATAAATCAGCAAGCACAACAAATTTTACAACTTCAAAAGGAAAATGAATGGTTAAGCCAGTTACTTTTCTCTTTGTATCAAGACCATATAAAATTAACCCAATAGCAAGAAGAAAGGAATAAACAACAAAACCAATTTTGGATGCAATGCTTTGCCCAACCTGTATCTGCAGAAGAAACAGAATTTCAGAAAGAAAGATTAAATTCTCAGGAAGTCTATACTATTAGACAATTAGAACTAGAAGAAGAGTACTTATTAACTTCAGAAGATCATGTGAAAACAGGTCAACTTACAACTGAACAAGGCAGACAATTTAAGAAATTATTAGATGAATTTGCAGATTTATTTGCTAAGGATATTTAATAGCAATATGTTTATACTCATCACATTGTCAACATTTATTATATTGGCAATCTTCAAAATAGTGATCAGTT